ACTACTTTTTTTTTAGTGTGAAAACTACTTTCTGATACTTTTTTTAAATTAAATTTCGAATGCGAAGTCTGCAAATATAACAATTTTGTGACTATTCATTGATCAAAACGATTGTTTATTGTTTTTTCTATTTTCGTTTGATGCAGAGATTTTTCCCATTTGTCAAATAAAACGTTTTTTCATTTATTAAAAAATGCTTAGAATTTACCAAAAAAAAAACCTTATTCATTTTATTGAAATAAAATAAAAAAAAATTGAAAAATTGAAATTAAAAAATTTATCTTTTAATTTTATCTTTTTTTTATTTAATTTACCTTTTGAATAGAAAATATTTTCCACATCAGAATTTGTTTTATTATCTCTATTACTTATATTAATTAAATAAAAACATTAAAAAAATATTAAAGGTATATATGTAATTTATTATTCACTTATTAATTAAAAAAATAAGATTATTATTTATATAAAAAATTAAATATTTGAAGCTTAATAATTAATATGTACCACTGTCAAAATTCAGCAAACTGTGGTCTGAAACCTAAACATTTTTATATTTTGACAATTTCCAAAATCTAGTAAACCATGGCCAAAGGCAAAAATAGTTTAGGACCAAAAAATATAGCTGTAGTCAAAATATTTATTCAAGGTTTAAACTATTCTTATCGATGGCAATGATTTTCTAAATTTTCTGTTTTAGTCAGAAAATAATATTTAATTTTACAATTTTTTCGAAAACTATTTCCAAATTTATATATTACAGTAAATAAATTCTCAGTTTTATAAATAGTTATAAAATGTAAAAAAGCGCCGACAATTTCTCAAGTCAAATGATGTTGCGCGCACACTAAGAAACGTTCTCTACACTTTGAAATTCAAGACTACGATTATAGAAGCTAGAACAAGGCGGTCCAAATTGCATCCGAGTTCGTATAAGTAACTCTCGAGTTGTGTGAGATGCTAATAAATTTGGTTGCCTTCGTTAACTGACATTTCAACATATTTAACCGCAAAAAAAAATTCGCTGTTCTTTAAAATTTTCAAATTCGAAAGAAATTTAATAAACATTAAAAATTTATTACAAACTTCAATAAATAAATAACTGAAATCCTTTTCACAACCTTTTGAAAAAAAATTTCCAAAACTTTAATATTCGTTTAACTAAAATATTCTGATAAAAAAAATATACCGTCTGATCAAAATTGATTCACACTACCTACTAAAGAAACTTTCAGGTTAAAATTTAATTTTGTTCTAATTCTTACTTTCAAATTCTCAACTTTTAGATCATATTAACATTTCAAAAAAAAAATTAATTAAAGCAATAAAGCTCTCACTTTTCTTAACGATATTAAAATTATTTTTACTTCCTAATTTTCATTTTTCCTCTTATTTTTCCCTTTTTTGTCTCAAAGATGTATTAATTTGAGCTTGAAAATTTTCAACGCAAATAAAATGAAAACAATATCAAAGTCGATTTTAGGTTGGTAAACACGAGCCGTTGGTATAATTAATTTGCCTGAAAATTAGTAGGTCACGTAGTCTTTTGTTTACACGATAAAGCATTTTAATTAGGAAAATAATCTGTGGTCTTTCCGTTTATCCTTTCTGAGTAGAAATCAACTCTTGACCCCGGTCTACTCTTTCCCCAATATTCTAAAATCCCGTCAAAAAGAACTTTTTAAAGGCAACAAAGTAATTTTTATGAAGCCAATATTAAACAAGTAGACCTCTTTTTTAAATTTAAGCGTATTACTACGATATGAAAAAAAATTAATTACTTAAATACTAATTTACTTAATATTAAATAAACATTAAAACGAATACTTATATATTTAAGTATTCAAGAATTTAAAATTTAGGGTTGCCACATTTTTGCTCATTTCAAATTCCCTGAATTTTCCAGTTTAAAAAATGGAATTTTTCCAGGTTTTTAAAACTATTTATATTTTACAAAATTTAAAAAATTATAATTTTTTCGTAACAATTCAAATTTTTAAAAATATTCAAAAATTCAAATCTTTTTGAAATTAAACAACTTATAAAAAATTCTTATAAAAAATGAAGTAATCGATCACTCCGAGTCTTCGACTAGGAGCAATAGATTTCTTCATGTTTTATAAATACCTAATTAAAAATAATCGACTGATAAAATCATTTTATATTATAAGAATAATATACTGTAACTTATTTAAAATTACTTTTATCAATTCAATTATTTTTTTCCAGAATTTTAAAACTACAATTCTTCTTTAAATTAATTATTTTTAATAATTTTTGATCAAGTTTTTTTGAGAATTTTCATATCTATTTGTTTACAATTGAATTTTATGAAATTTCGATTATTCGAAAATTTTTCAATTAAAAATATATTAGAAAATAAAAACTTCAAATAACTTTCAAAAAAATTCAATTAAACTTTTTCAAAAAAATAAAATCTACACAATTTTTAGTTAAAAGTTTAAAAAATTTCAACATTTAAAGATTATAATTTGAAACCTTTTCAAAAATCAATTTCTAAATCAATCAAATCAATTTCTAAAAATTCTAAAATTTCTCTCTAAATTTGAATTAGTAAAAAATAAAAATGTTTACTATTTTTGAATTAGTGACTGACTTTTTGCTTTTTAATTAGTAAATTTTACTATTAAATTAGTAGAAACGATTATTTATTAGTAAACCATGCTAATTCAGAAGCAAAAAGTCAGTCACTAATTTAAATTAGAAAACATTTTTACTAATTCAAATTTAGAGAGTTTAATATTCGCAATTATTATTTAAAATTTTAAATGAAATTCATATTTACATCAATTTTTACTAGAAAATTCGACGAGAATTCAATTATTTAAATACAAAAATAAATAATTTATTGAAGAATTAAATGTTTTTTTAAAATTGAACTCTCATAAAGAATTTTATAAACAAAATTTTAAATAGGTGATTAAAATTCTTTTAACGAATTTTAATAACATTTTTAACTATAATTTAATTTTTCGAGAAATTAGATTAAAATTGCATTAAAAATAATTGAATTTCTGTAAAAAAAAAAATTGATTGAATTGAGAAAAGTTTTTGAAAATATATGAAATTTCGCCAAGAATTTTATTAAAATTTTTGAAAATAATTGAATTTGGAAGAAAGTGAAAAAGTTTATTATTTATAAAGATAATTGAAAAAGTTGAATTTTTGAGACGAATTTTTTTTAATAATATTAATTTTTAAATACATAATTGAATTCTTTTGTGAAATTTTATTGAAATAGGATAGATATTGAAAATAATTGAATTTTGATAAATTATTGAAATTAATTAAATATCTACGAAGAATTTTATTAAAATTATTTGAAAAAAAATTGAATTGTTAAAAAGAAATTCATTAAAATTTTTGAAAAATAATTTAATTTTTTCAAGAAATTTAGTTAAAAATGTATGGACAATAATACTTAAATTCTATTAAATAAATTATAGGAAGGCTTTTTAAAATAATTGAATTTCTTTGATCAATTTTAATAAAATTTTTAAGAATAATTACATTTTTCGAGAAATTCCATTAATATTGTATTAAAAATAATTGAAATTCTGCGCGATGAGTTTCATTATTTATGTAAATAATTGAATTATTGCGAAGAAATTTATAAAGAATTTGTAAATAATATAATTCCTGTGAACTCTTTTAAAACTCTTTTAAAATTGAATTAATTTTGAAATATTTAGAAAAAAATAGATTTCAAGAATAAACACAATTTAGAAAACAATAATTTTCCAGGATTCCGATCAAAATTCCCTGGACTTTTCCATATTTTTTTAAGGTTTATGAAATTCCCTGACATTTTCAGGTTTTCCAGGTTTTCCAGGTTGCGTGGCAACCCTGAAATTGAAAAAAATTATTTTTGTGGAAATAAGAATTTTTTTTTCATTTTTCCAATATTTGGTTAGTAAAATTTATTCCTGTTTCCAATAATTAAAAATATCTCAATATTTAAATTGGTAATTAAAAATTATTCTAACGATGTAATTTTTTATATATTAATTAATTAAAAACATGAATTATCTCGATTATGTTTCCCAAGTAATTTACCATTTTATCCACAGGGAAAAAAACTTTCACTTTTTATTTTTTTTTATTTCACTAACTTTGGCTTTAAGTGGGAATATCGTGCACACATATATCATTTTTTTTAATAAAAATTTTTCCCCTTTAAATTCTATGACGTTAAAAGCATATAGAAAATTCGTCGGTGAAAATGAATCTCGTTTTCGCTACTTTAATTAAAAAGTGCTTCCTTTATGTTTTAACTCCTTTATACACGTATCTATATATAGTTGAAAGTGTGATAAAACTGTTTTTTCTAAGCTCAAAAACTGCCTATATAAAATTACTTCAATTTTCAATTGGCTCGTTTACATTATCAACACCCAATTTCTTTTCTCTTTTTTTAGCTATGATGATGAAAAACTGTTCTCGTTTCAATTATTATTTCCGATAAAAGTATCACACTCTAAATCAACTTTAAAACTCAATTATCTAATATTAAAGTTTGGTACGATAATATTGGTCTTTTCTTAATAAAGTTTAAAACCCAATTAAGAAAGTAAACCTCTAAATTATAACAAGAGAGGATATTGTTCTTCTTTAAATATCGATTTTTTTTAAAGTTTAATTTCTTAATTTTTTTGAAATTTAAGTATGAACTGAATTGTTAATTTTTTTTCAATTATAAAATGAATGTTTGAATTTTTAAATTTATGAATTTATGAAATTTACAAAAGAGAAGAGGGAAATGTTTTTGATAATGAAGATGATGGTAGTCGAGGACAACAATTGCCCTTTTGAGAAATGAAGTTAGATGTATTATTGAATTAGGGTTCACTTCCTGAGTGGAGAAAAGTAGTCTTTTAGAAGATTACCAAAACTAATTAGTTGAACATTTTGAGTAGAGAGAACAACGCTTGTGAGAGCACCTAATAGATAGTTACCAAAGGTTACTTGTCTTTTTGTTGCAGGTGCGAGGGTGGTTGGCTTCAACTTCAGGGTGGAGCTCGAGTTTGCGGTCGCAATGAGCGATTCGACCCACCAATTGTTCTATTTTCTGACAAGCCTGCAGCAATTTTACATATGCAGTGAGTAAAAAGACAAAATACCTTATTTCCGTAAATAAAAAAAAAATTAAAATAGTTTTAATTTTTTTCACTCATTTTTCAAATGTCTGACTTTTACTACTGAGACAAACAATAAATTAATAAAAAAAAAACTCTGTCTGACTCGATCGGTTTTTTCTACTGATGATGACAAAAAAACAAAAGCAACAATATTTAAATATTATTATTGTTGGGTTCACTTCCAAAGTAGAGAAAAGTTATTTTACATTTGAAAATTTACTGTCTGACTAAAACACCCCTTTTCTACTAATACTAAACATTAAAAATTAGAAGAGCTCTAAAACTTACAAAACTCGAAACTAAAAAAAGAAAATTGGCAACAATTTGACAGACTAAAAACTTAGTTTACTAGCAATGGAAAAAGTAATACAAAAATTTAACAAGTCTGACTAAAACTAACGTTCTCTACTAAAATTAAAATCAAAAAACGAAAAAAAAAAACGAATAAGTTTGACTGAAACTGACATTTACTGCGCTAATAACTAAAATTAGAAAAAAATCCCTTGTTCCACTTGTACTATGTAAAATAAAATGTCAACGAAATTTAAGTCTGACTATTAATGTCTTATACTACTTATGGTAAAAATTGTCGCACGATAATAAGGTTGTAAGTCTGACTGTTATTGATTTGTACTACTCAGACAAAAATTGTAGTTTGTCTGACGAAAACAACTCTTTACTACTGATACAAATAATTAGAAAAATTACAAATGGCGCACTAAAAGTGTCAAAACTCAAAATTGAAGAAATGAAATAATATTAAAAAATTAAGTTTAAAATATTCCAATTCGACAAAAGGGGGAAAAAATTGAATTTAGAAAAAATATTCAATGATAGGAATAGAGAGATAAACATTGAACAAGTCTGACTAAAATTAAATTTCTCCTCTGAAACTAAAAAGACAAAACACTAAAATATTTCAAAAAAGTGTTCTATTAACTTTTATTTACGAATTTCTCTAATTGTAAAATTATTTGATAACATTAATAACTTCTTCTTTAAATAAATATTTAATAATCATTATTTTTCTATAGGAATTAAGATTTTCCAATTCAATAACTTGTGAGAATATTATTATAAAACAAAGAAATCGATTTCTTCATGTTTTATAATAAATTTAAGATGAGAAAATAATTGAATTCCTGCAACAAATTTAAAAAAAAAATTTTTTTATAAAATTGAATTCCTATGAAAAAATTTATTTTTGAAAATAATTGAATTCTGGAGAAAAATATTATTACTTATGAAAATAATTAATTTCTTGTGAAGAATTTTATTCAAATTTTTGAAAATAATTTAATTTCTCAGAATTTTTTAAAACTGTTTAAAAATAATTAAATTCCATCGAGAAATTTCATTGAAAAATTGAAAATAATTGAAATCTGACGAAGAATTAAAACAAAAAAAAAATTTTAAATAATTAAATTGCTTTGAAAATGTTTATTTTTAAAAAGAATTGAATTCTTGGAAAGAATTTTCTTAAAATTTCTTAAATAATTGATTTACTTCGAAAAATTTTATTTTTTACGAAAATAATTGAATTGTTTTGAAGATTTTTACAAAAATTTTTTACAATAATTGTATTTCTAGGAAGAATATTATATTTTACGAAACTAATTGTATACTATTCTATGATCTATTTGATTATAATTTTTCAAATTTATATAAAACATTTTTTTTTAATTTTTGTAAATAATTCAATTCTCGAGAAAAATTTTATTATTTATGAAAATAATTGATTTCTTTCGAAGAACTTATTGCAATTTTTTTAAATAATTGAATTTTTAAGAAGAATTATATTAAAAATAATTGAATTGTATAGGAAAATTTTGTTAAAATTGCAATTTTAATATTTTATTAACTAAATTTTGTAATGAATTTTGTCAACATTTTTTTAAATATTAGAATTTTTATTTATTTATTTATTAATACTATTTTTTTCAATTCTCTGAATATATTTAAATTCTTTCGAGAAACTTTATTAGAAAATTAAAAATAATTGAATTGGTTCGAAGAAATTTACAAAAAATTGGTAATTCCTGTGAAACTGTTATTAAAATTTTGTTTAAATAATTGAATTATTTTGGAAAATTATATTAAAATAGATATTAAAAATAATTGAAATGAGGAAAATTTTTGGAAAATAATTGAAATTTTGCCAAGAATTTTATTAAAGTTTTTGAAAATAATTTAATTTCAAAGAAAAATTTTATTATTTATAAAGATAATTGAAATTTTGACGAGAATTTTTTTTTTTATTTTTTGAACATAATTGAATTTATGCGATGAAGTTTATCACTTTTGAAAAAAATTAAATTTCTGGAATCAGTTGTTCTTAATATTTCAAATTGAAACCTTTGAAGTTCATCTATTGAAGATTCTAACCGCAACTCTTTTAAAATCAAATTAAGTTTGAAATTTTTAAGTAAAATTAATCATTAAATAATTTATAAATAATAATTTTATGATAGTTGTTCAAGAATTAAGTTATTTAATATTTAATTAAGTTATTTAAAAAGAAATTATTGTCATAGAAATAGACAAATTTAAGGTTTTGTTCTTCAATTCTTGACAATTTCATAATTTATGAGGCAAACAAAAAAGACTCCAAAATTCAGAATTTTCTTATAAATGCTAAAAATTAAATTTTTTTCAGTACTTTTAATAAAAATCCCTGACTTTTTCCTGAATTCCCTGACATGTGGCAACCCTGTCTTAAAATACAAGAAGAGGATTTTTTTAAAAAGCAATTCTGAATTTCAATTTAATTTTTAATCTAGACCAATACTGGAAAAATTAGCGAAGGCTCACTGCAATGCAGTCATCTAAACTAGTAGAAAAAATTAGAATAATTGATTGACACATACTGTTAGTAGACGAGGAAAAAAGAAACTTGGAGGTAAAAAAAAAAGAGTTAAACACATAAGTATTGAAGTAGTCAACATTTATTTTGGCCTGTAAAACTATCTCGACTTGTTTCTTTAAATCGAATCCCAGTTTGAAATTCATGCTCACTTTCTCCCTCCATCTCTCTCTCGTTCTTTCTCTCTCAGGCTCGGGATTAAAATGAATACGAAATTTACGCGATAGAATAAATTACGCAAAAAAAAAAAAAAATAAAAATAAAATAAACCGGATCAATGCTCTTCTTTTTATTTATTACGTTCTAAAACAAACACAAACTCGTTTCCATTGATTTCAGTTAATAGAAATAAATTTAAAAAGTTTCCCCTCACATTTTTATTTTTTTTTTTTGCATTAACTTCTCTCTAAATTTTATTATACTTTTATTATGTGTTTATCATTTTATCATTTATTATTATTTTGTTATTCATACATATTTTTGTAAATAAATTATTATTTTGTATTTTAAATTTTTCTATATCACAACTTTCTTGAAATTATCAAATTGATACTAAAGTAAATCAAATTGATACAAAAAATTGGAATTAATTTTTTATTTGATTCACATTTTTGATATCAATTCGTTTGCAATTTGATTCTTTAAAGTTTAACCGATTACTTGACTATTATCAACTGAATATTTGCTTGAATAAAAAAATTGTTTATTAAGTTTTTAATTTTTTTTCTTTTTATCATTTGAGTTTCTAATAGGATTCATATACGTGATACTCTATTTCCTAAGAGGAAGCCCTGCGTTTATGAAATGAACAGAAAAATGTTACGCAGACAAAATTAAAGTTAAGTCAGTGCACGTCCACTTGGCAGCGGTTTTTATTTTTTCTTTTTTTCGAGAATATTAAAAGTTGGAAAGAAATAAAATTCAGTAATTCCTTTTTTCATTTCTCCGAAAACGTGTAATATTTCCTGTGATAGATCATTAATTTTGGGTCAAATTCAAATAACATATATACATGGATAGAAATCTAAATCTAGGATTTTTTGGCAATCCGTATTTGAAAATTTTGGCATCAGACAAACTCTTATCTTCTTGTAAGTGTATGTTATATGGAAAACGAAGATGGAGAATTCGCGTATTCGCAATTTTCCACCGTTTTTCATTTTTCAGTGTCCCTGCGCGCCCGGTATTCAGAATTTCAATTTGCGGTATGAGAGAAAAGAGAGCTCTCGTGACTCCCTTTTATCGTCCAGATTTTCAGTATCTTTTATTGAAGACAAGGATTCCGTGGGCTTTTGTGCGCGCTAAAGGCTAAAAGATCGTATATCATTTTTCTCGACACATTTATGCCAGTCGCGCCCCGCCGCTTTTGCCCACGTTACACTCAACTTTTCAAGTTATATAAATTTCATCGTTCAGTCGACCTCATCATTCTATTTCCATGTCACATGATATATACAAAAAGAATTATTTGTTTTAAAAATTATTATGTATGTACTTTTGTGATTTTTTTTTTCTTCAATATCTTATCCTCGTTGTATAGTAAAAAAAAATTAAAAAGTGTCCAAATAATAATAAATAATAATAATAATAACATAAATCACTAATTTTTACCTATTGTGACTATTATTAAACTTTTAGTGAACCGAAATTTAAATCGATTAATATTTATAATTTTTATTGGTAAAAATTGTAATCGATTGCAAATAAAATTTCCCTAAATTGTACTTAGATGTTAATTTGAATTTATTGTAAATTTAATCAGGTGGTCGATTACGTAATTTAATTTTCAATTTCACATTCAAAAATTAAAATTAAGGTCAAGGTATGAAAATAAAAATCTGTAAATGTGAAAGCCAAAGCAAAAATGAAATATAAAATAAAAATGAAAAAAAAATTGTGAATGTGAAAGTGAAAATATAAATGTTTCAAAGTAAAAGTGAAAATGAAGTGAGAATGAATGTGAAACTGAAATTTTGTAATCGACCCCCAGCTACCAAAATTTAAATTATTTATTTGTTTATAAACGGTATTCAAAGTATTATACTATATTTAGTATTTTAATTAATTTTTACTTAATTTTATTTAATTTAAAAAAATT